ATTTTTTGAAAAGAATCCGAAAACTTCTAATAAATTTACTGGGTCATTTTGCAGTTTCGCTTACCAAATTATCTCAGTTACTGTGAAGAAATTTGGTCAATTACAACAAAATGCAATCTAATAAATAAAAAAAAAAATTTTGGACAGTTTAAAAAAATTATAGCTATCTGCATTTCTCTATGAATGAAAGAATTCCAGCATTCACAAAAAAAAAAAAAAAAATAAAATCTTCTCTTGACTTTGAGTTAAAAAAAAAAAAAAAAAAAAAAAAACTGAACTATTTACTATTTTACTTTTAGATTTCTTATCAGCTTATTTTTTTCTTACTGACAAAATGCCATCCTCACATCAATGAGATTAATTTAGAATGTTGTATTCTGAAATTGTCAATTTGCTGAAATAAAAATCAGTGTGGGTTTTCTTTTTGTGTGTGTGTGTGTGTGTGTGTGTGTGTGTGTTACCTTTGAGATTTCTACCTAAAATTCAGAATAATCGGAATGTTGTTCAGCAAGTAGAGAATGAAGGAATGTTTAAACTAAAACCGCTACATTTGATAGGACTTAAATGCAGCTTTTCCTCTCACTGACTAATCCATGTAGCTAAATAAACAAATTTGTCCTTCAGTTGGTTAGATTTAAAACTTACAAAAGGATAAGGGGGAATAGGTAAAGAGTTTACATTTGTGTTCTTGAAAAATCAACAGCATTCATTAGACGATCTATTAATAGATTTTTGTCATATGCCATGTTGTATAATTGTCTAATTTTTTTGCTGTTATCGTCATTTCCTTTGCACTTGTGATGTTGAGTAGTGGTATGTTTATGAAAATAGTCGCCTATTCCAAAATATTAATACAGTCAGGTTATGTGTAAACTAATTAGATTTCATAAACAGGGATTCTTAATAGTGTTTTACAGATTTGCAATTTGGTGGGTTTTCTTTTCAACTGCCTACACAAAAGAATTTTTTTCCCCACAATACAAACATTGACCAAGTTTCTTGGAGTTAATTTCAATATTTTTATATTTAGAATAAACTTATTCTGGCAGTAAAACTTATATTAATTCTACAACTCTGAAGACCATTTTCTTAATTTGGAATGCAGTGAATGCTTAAAGTTGTTCAAATTTAAATTTTTTTTTTTTAAAATTGAAAATTGTGCTTGATTATCGAATTCTATTTTTACACACTAACAATACAACGGTGATTCTTATAGTCCTGTGAATTAGCACACTCTTAAGTATTATGCTTAAGATGAAGCTATTACAAATTCTTCTGTGAGGATGTGCCAAAATTTCCCCCCCCCAGACATGCCTGTCAAGTTTGACATTAGTTTTCTTGCAAACATGTCATAAAGGATAATTTTTAAAAATTTATATCTGTTCGCCACCATAAATCAAAGTTATTCGTTTAAAAAACTTTTATCCATGATCTTATGAGTTACAGACATGTTAATTCAGTGTTATCCTCCACTTCAATATTTGTACTCTTGTAAAAATGATAGCTTGGAATTTCAAGAACTGCAATGTTTAAATTCCACCAAACTTGGCAGGTGAAGCTTTATTTGGTTGAAGTCACTTGTCATTGCTCAGATTCAAGTTGTGATTTCATGTAAAGATGCCATCATCAAACTGGAATATCTGAAATATATTTCAGGTTAGGTGATTGGCAGTAAAAATTAAGAATAAAATTAATTCCTGCTGCCAAAAGTTTTCCAATATAACAGCCTTGAAAATTTAAAATGTGAAATCCACAGACTGCTGTACAATTTTAATCACAGAGGGCTTCATAAGTCAGGAAAACGTACATGTATATTTCTAATGATTTCTTTTAGTTCAGAAAAAAAAATCTTTGAAAGTAAATCAGAAGTAGAACATCAACATTAAGTTTAGCTTCTTTGTGACTGTCATTGAAGTTTGTGGGCTTAAGTGATACTTTTTCTATACACATGATCACATTATCTCACTTGTTCTTCACAGGCAGCAACAAATTCCTGGCTCAAATATACAGTTGTCTCTTCAGTTTGACTCATAATTTAATTTTTCTATAACTGTTTGCTTTTACTATAAAAAGCAATCATACTTCTTGTTGCTTTCTTTTTTTGTGCATGATGCCATCCAGAAAAAACAATGGGCTTTGGAGTTTTCTGATTCTTCACAATCTAATATAACCTGGCACATTTATTTCAGGTCATTATCAAGGTACCAACAGGCAGCACTTTTCAATTTTAATGACTTTCTTGTCATACTCAGATTCAATTGCTGGGAACCTTTTGATCTTTATATTTATATATATATAAAGATCAAAAGGTTCCAGTTCTGACATCTGCAAAAAATAAACTGGAATCAATGAGGTCCTTGTCATGGGGTGGGGGATAAAATGCTTAAAATTCAAATATTTCTAAATTCAGAATGTCAAAATTTTATGAAAATTTAAGCAGATCCTTAGAGAAAAAGAAAGATTACAGATGAAGTGACAGATCTGGCCCAGGGGGGAAGTAAGGCTTGCAGTAAAATTTACAATAAATTCTAACTACGCAAAAATGATGTGAAACCAAATGCAGAACAATCAGTTATTATTTTTCAGAAACATCATGGAAAATGGCTTCACAGGTGGACAGACAGCAATGAGTATCAGGTTTGCTTTCTACACAGATCAACTCTAAAAATATCCCCCACCCAACATAGTTGATGCATTTTTAAACATTCTCTAAAGACAAGAAAATCAGATGTGAACAATGACAGGATCATCAGAACTCTGTTGAAGAGCTGCTAACAGCGGACCCCAAAACAGACCTGCATGATAACCTGGGCCTTAAATCATTTACAAGGATGCTAAGGCCAGGAGGCTGAAAGAAAATACTTAGAACTATAAATCTACTTTTAAAATATTTTTAAAACTGGATACTGATGTAGTTTCAGTTTTTCAAAACAAAGTGTTAAGTGTTGATGTCAAAAACACCTTCAGGTTCGAACATCAAGTTCAAGTCATGGCCTTTGCGTTCTGTGGCCTCTGATGTGATAAATGATGCTTCCATGCCTTGACAAGATTGAATAGAACTTCTGTGTTGATACTTACTGACATAGCTTTAGTGCAACTCGAGTCATAGAGTCAAGTTCTGCAATCTTCTAGTTAGATTATGCTGGGTAGGGCATTTTGGAGCACCCTTAAGTTCACCATCAATAAATGAAGGTAGATGCCATGTTGATACTGAGGCTGCGAGATGGTTAAACATTAACTCTAAACAGAAAAGGGGTAATTCCAAAATGAAATATAAACTGGAAGATAGAATAGAAGAGATTTTCCCTTGTAATGTGGAAGTGAAGAAAAGACCATCTGAGTAGCACCACTCCTACAAATTGGGACAATGCACCAAAAGTTTTTTTTTTTTTTTATCTATTAAAATTCTGGCATGTGGGTAAAGCAGATTGGGGAAATGGCTTTCTTTTTTTGGGAAATTAGAAAAACATGTCATAGGCAATAACAGAATCAGAGGGGAATTATATTTTCCTTAGCAAAAACAAATTTAGAAATGAAAACAGAAGAATCCCCCTTTTCTTAGGGTTGAAGTTATGGAAGATCAGTCATGTTGTGCCAAAAAGGTGATCTGGTTTATATTTTCACTGGGCCAGGATAATTCTGGCAAAATAGAAAGGGGGTCAGGGAATTGAAATTAATGAGAAACTATGTACTTTAAAAATTAGATTTGTCACAAAGACAGTTATATCAGTCCTGAGAAATGGGCAGACTTAGAATACTAAAGAGGAAGGGGCAGACCCGCCTGTGCAGAGTAGTGGTGCAAGATGTGAAGTGAAGCAGGTTGGAGTTAAGTGAGAAGCAATCCCTGTGACAACTCCCAAGGAATGTGGATATTTTTCCAAATTTGGAAAGTTGATTAAGAAAGCAGAAATAGGAAACCTTTATTTGTACTGATTAAATTTAGGAAATCACCGAATTCTCAGAACCCTGGGCTAAGAACCCACATTGAGAGCTTCAGAAATCCAAGTTAGCTGATTCAGGTGGAAGGGTTATTTTTTGTTGCACCAACAGCTATATAACAAATTGAAGATCAACTCCACAAATCTCTTGTCTTTGTCATGAAGATATTTTTTTCTTAATATAGCACCCACCATAGCTTGAACTAATGCTGTAAGATTACAACCTTCAATTTTCCACTGCTCTGAGATCAAGAATACAGTGTGGGTAGAGTTGGTGGGGATTGAAGCAACCAAGAACCAGCTTAGACCAATGTCAACACTGACCAGCGCAGAGTTAGGACAATGTCTTAACCATGGGCTAAGAGCCTGAGACCCAGAGCACTAAATATGGTTACACTACCAAGTGTAGGCAGCAACCAAAAAAACTTCAGCATGAAAATATGTGCAACTTTTAACTGCAATGTTGTGGTAATAATTTAAAATGATAGAAGAGACATTCATATATATATATATATATATATATATATATATATATATATATATATATATATATATATATATATATATAAAAAAATCTATAAGTTTTTTTTTTTTTTTTTCCTCGGGGTGAAGGAGTAACTTTGTAAGCAATCTGCAAAAACAAAAATCTAGATCACGTTCATGACCCTTGAAATTGTTATAAATTAGGGTTTCAGATGAAATAACAATTGGCAAAGATTAAAACAGACTTTATTCATTCATTGTTTAACACCAGAAAAATCAGAAGAATTTGTCATGAAGCAATTGACAATAACAGAACAAAATAGAGTCTGTACGAAAGCGAGTGGGGAGTCAGGATTCATTTATACAAGAGTACAAAATGACAGTCAGCCTCCAAGGGCCAAAAATTACAGTAGTGTTTTTTTTCTCTTCTCCGGCCAGCTTGTGTGTATGTATTGTGTGTGCGCGCAATTATATCATTGGTCCAAAGGTGAGCTGGAGGTCTGCTACACCTGGGGGCTTGCAACATTACCCTGCACAATGCTGGAGAGAGAGGGAAAGTTGCTGCTTCTGTGGCTGCTATCACACAATTGCTTTGGCTTCAGGGAGAAAGGCTTCCCAGTGTTTGATCAACTGAAAATCAAAAGAAAATTTATTTTTAATATATATTGTCAACAACAAATTAAATCAAAGGAAATGGTATGCAGTTTTGCTAACTTTTTTTTTTTTTAAATCATTTCACCCGAAGCAAGTAAAGGGGTTATTGTGTGTTAGAGAATATGAGAAAAATCTGCTATTAAGGAAAGAGGACAATAAAAGAACAGGAATTAAGACAGAAGATAACAATTGACATTGATCTTCAAAAATTTAAATGCAAAGTTGAAAAAAAAAAAAAAAAAAACAAACAAAAAGCCAGAAGTGCAAGAGAAGAAACTAAGCACCGAACTTCCGGTTACATCTTGCTGCCAATCTCGTACTGCACTTAAATTCATAAAGTCTAGGTAACAAAGAGCAAAGTTCATCGGAACAATTACCATGGAAGTATTTAGAGTAATGGCACAGGGAGGCTATGTAATGTTAGTGGAGAAAGTAACTGAAGCTGGAATGCCAGGTCAGGACCAATAACATTGCAAATTCTTTTCATTTTATCAAGAATCTAACCACAGAGCAGGAGCACCAGACCAGATGTGACAGCAATATTTAAAGCAAGAATCAATGATAGACATATATTTATAAGATAAATTCTGGTAAGAAAAATTGTCTAGCTCGACAGGGAATCAACTTTCTTAGCTGCAGACTTAGCAATTGATTCAATATATCCTTTCCACTTAATGTCATGTTAGTCCAAGAAAGCACAATGAGTCACTCACTTGGAGGTTAGCATCTGCTATGCTGAGGGAAGGTAAAAAGGGTTGTCTCAGATGATTAAAAGAGAAATTTCACTTTTGAGGTGTTAAAATTAACAAGCCACTCCTTGCCCCATTTAACAATCTATTATAGGTAATTTTTTGAGATCAGCTGTCAACTTGACCTCATCAAATCAATCACACTTACTATTAAGACAAGTAAATAGTTGTATCATCAGCATAGATACGGAGTTGAGAACTGATGACATCAGGATGGTCATTTATGAAAATTAGAAACAGAGTGATTAATCTATTTGAGAAAGAAACAATTCTTGAGTGGAGTGTGTGGAATCATCAACAAATACCGTTTCTCGCATATGTACTAAGCAAAAGTTTATAGGTTTTGTTACATAAATACACATACAGTAATAGAACATGAGAAAGAGATTGTCAGTGGTTAGAGCTGCTTACCTTCTGCTGAGTTTCCATTAAATGTTCCAGGTATGAGATGACAACAGTTTTAAAGTCAGTCACTCGACACACTTCAAAGCGCTTCACTTCCTTACGGATCATATCAGATATCTTCTCAAAGTCTTCCTGTCCTTTCTCAACTTTCTGTTCCCACTGAAATAATTCATATAATGAACAGCAAAATGGGAATTAAAGATAATTTTACTATGAACAAAAAGTATTACAAAAAAAAAAAAAAAAAAAAAAAAAGATTTTGGAATGAGAAAAAATATGTAAGTATCTGTCTATATTTCTCAGATGAGGTATTATGTAAACTATTTACATTATTCGGACTATTGTCCTCATCTTTGTCACCATGTCAGTTATCTCCTGTTAATTTCCCTCTGAAATTTCTGCACTGCTTTAACCGGGTATTGAATTCAGTTTGGGTCCTGTCACTGGATCTAACCAATGCCTTTATCCACTGTGACATGTGTCCTCAAGGACACATAGCACAGTGGATAAAGGCATTGACACATGGGACAGTGGATAAAGGCGTTGGTTAGATTCAGTGACAGGACCCAAACAGTGTGAATTCAATACCCGGTTAAGGCAGTGGAGAAATTTCAGAGGGAAATTAACAGGAGATAACTGATAACTGACATTCATTAGACATGGCACATGGAACTAGAACTAACCCCAGTGAGTGAAATAAAGGGTTCAGGTTGACATTCCAACCACCTGAAGAGGGCCGGAGCATGCAACAGCTAAAACGTACTAAATATGGCAACAAAGATGAGGACAATAGTCTGAATAATGAAAATTCAGTATTTTTTTTTTTGTATTTTTTTCTCCTCTTTAATTTCAAGACAGCAAACTGAAATTTTCTGACAGAAATGTATTTTAATTTTGATACATTGGTATCATTTTCTGAAGCCTGTGGTTTTATAATGACAAGAAATAACAGCTCCTCTCCAATAAGCCTGACATCTCCAAACAGGTATTGGTGGCATTTTCTCAAAAAAACCATTTCTGTTGAAGTTGTGGCTAGACTCGGCTTACCACACCAATGAGTGATACAGAAACCAAGATGACCATTTGACTAAATCAGCTTCTGGCCCTCAATATACTGAGGTAGTGGGTATTAATTCCTCATCAAAAAGATAAACTCTGTCAAAAGAATGATTTAACAAATGAGACTTTTTATTTATTTTCTCTAATCAATCAGTTTGTTACCCCCCACCACCTCACCCCCAAACATTTCCATTTTGCTAAATAGGCTCAAACAACTTCAAACCAAAATTGCATTTGTGTTGTAGCCATAACCATTTCTGTTTGATGGCTTTTCAAAACATTTGCAGTTTCATCAACATAAAATTCACATGCCTTATGTCACATATTCAGGATCTATTTGGCAATTTGGTTGGGCAGCAGAAAAACTACAGGGCAAATGGTAAAACCTGGATTAATTCTAGCGTTCATATCATCAGCTTTACCTTATTGTTACTGGAGGACTTTGTTTTGGAGCAGGTGGGGACATGTTGCAAAAGAAACAGTCTTAAAAGAATTGATAAATTTTAAATTTATTTATCCTCAGGGTAAAATGTTGCAAGATCGATAGAGAATTAAGTTACACAAAGTTCTCTGATTAATTAATTAATGTCATTTAACATTGTAAGTACTTAGTTCAGTACCTACTTGTTTTGGTAGAGTGTGACCAAAAACATAACAATGGTCCCATACTTGCCAAATTTCCTATTAATAAAAAAAATCCACTTTATTGACCATTTGGGATCTTACCAATCCAGAAAGATAAGAAACCTCTAAATTTCATAAGTCCGTACATTAGTTTTTCAGTTTAGTTAGCATAAATGACCCAAAGCACCTTCTTGAACTGCAAAATGCTTTTTAGAAACCAAATTGTTTTGACAGAAATTCTGGGCAAAGTTTACACTAAGTCATGAAATTTTATTCATCATTTCTAGATCTAATCCTGATAATCTGAGGTTTCTTCAGATTTGCAAAGAATGCAGAAATTCACTTTTGCAATTTCACTTGGTAAAACCTAACCCATCAGAATATCACCCTCCCTCCCCAATACCCCACCAAACTCCTGGAACATTTGGTGGCTAAGACCTTTTCTCGAAGGACTTGCATAAACAAGTAGAATTATTTAAAATTTGTGACAGTGGAATAATGGATATCGACTTGGATTGAAGAATTGAAGATCCGAGTTTGAATTCCAGTTGAATCCATTACACTTACGTTGCTAATCCCCTTGGGAAAAGGTATGACTCCTCATCTTCTCCCCCCAGGTATGGGTAAATAGCAGGACAGACTGGGTTCTATAGCCTTGGATGGCAACTGGTCTACCGCAGAAAGAAATGGCAACCTACTGCAGGAAAAAATCTGCCTTGAAAGATACATTATCGCCTAAGCATATATCACACACGGCACATAAATGACTGATATTTTATTCCATAAATTTTACTGTAAGGAAAGTGCCTCGCCAATCTACACAAAATGGAGCCTCTAATTATTTATTGGAGATGCATTGACATTTTTTCAACATCTGATCATAGTTGTGCACAGAAAACTTTTCAAACCAATCAATTGGCCATCAAAAACGATTTAACCAATTTACTAGGTCAGATGACATCAAAGAAAGAAAAAAAGACCACCTCAGTAATTTCTTGCTGTGCTTGGGGTACTTTATCAGTCTTGTGGGCCATTTCCAAACGAGCTTTGTTTTCACGTTTCCTTGCCAACATAACTTCAGCATCTTTCCAATTCCTGTAACACTTGACACGTTCGTGGAATACTTCCTGCCAAAATAAAATTTTAAAAATGTTAATGAAAACTGTACAAATTTGGTGATAGACAAAACTGTCCGGCATATCAAAAGACGACTCAATTCCAACACCCAGACATGAAAAGAAATTAGCATTCAACAACACAAATGCTAAATTATAACAGAGCATAAGAAAAATGTTTCATTCCCCCCTTCCCCCACATTCTCAACACATCCAGTTTTTTTTTTTGTTTAATTAAAAAAGTAAACAAAAATAAATGTCCAGAATCTGTAATTTTATAATCTCTGTGCCATTTGGAAGAAAGAAACATTTGAGAAAATCTTGATAGAAAAATGTACAGAACTGCAAATTGTTAGGTTTGTAAAAGTGTGACAGTTTGTATGAGAAAACTTTCAGGTGAAGACAGAAATGGACAGGAAAGGTAGAAGCAGAAAATTATTCAATTTCAATAGAATTTTCAGTACATTAGTTTATAAAAATTAGAAAACAGTATTTTCTAAGTTTAGAAATAATTTTGTAAAGCCAATCAAATTTAAATACATTGAGAAAAATATATTTTTTTTTAAAAAAATATTCAATTGCTCTGCATAAATGCAGCACATCAACTTAATACTAAATACACAGAGAGGCTGATTGCAAAGAAAGTTTGCATTGATAAAGCAAAGTAATAGGAGGATCCCTTTCTTAATAAAAATGTTGGATACGTGGATTCTCTAAGACTGCCAAATAAACCTTTGACAATCTGGTTGCCAGGATGTTAAACAGCACATTCTTTAAGTGTTGCAAGCCATGTGGTTGAATTTGTTTGTACAGATGACTGGGAGATGTGGTAGTCAGGACAACACACTGTATAGGAATGGCTTCAAGTGCATGAAGAGTTACCCAATTTGTGCTGTGTAGCAGGGGAAACATTGTTCAGAATAATGCTGCTTCTATCAAAGAAGTCTGTTGTCAATAAAAAGTGTATCCAATCACCAATGATGTTGAGGCGGGTGGTAAGAAAGAAAGAAAGTACCTTCTATATAAATGAGAAGACGCAGTGTTTCCAAAATCATCACACTGCCTCCATCTTGTTCTTTTTCCTTATAGTGCATTCAGATCCACCTTATTCAAGAGAAACAGTTTCATTAGAACAAGCAATGTTCTTTCCTTGATACAAGCACTAATTCTGATGTGAACATGTCTACTGAAGACATTTCCAGTGATGGACATTAACTTGCAGTTATGTCACCCTCCCACAACCTACAATTGATATACTGGATTGTATTCATTCTTTCATCTAGATTAAAGTTATCTCCAATTTGTGCTATAGTAATTCTTCTATTGACCTGTACTTTGTAGGAAAGCGTCTGTTCACTTCTCACATCAATAATTCTTAACCACTGTCAATAGGTACCCACCACACTTGAACCTGAGCACCCCACAAGCCATGCCTTTTAAGAAATACTCCATTCTTCATAATAATTTGGCACATATCAAAATCAGTGAAATCTTTTTTGCCATATACAAAATGAAGGCCAAGAGGCTGTTTTACTGCTATATACCTCTGACAGTTATGAGACAGTAGCTGTCATTCTTGCCACATGTTATATTAAGCATAACAGTTTGTTGGGGGATGTAGATACATATTGCAAATGAACAGATGTGCAAGATGAAATGTTTACTGACCTTTACTGATTGTATCATGTTGATGTAATCCTTCAGCAGCTCAGAGATAACATAATAATCCTCATCTGCCTGCTCTTTGTGCAACTGTTCAACCTTCTCTTCTGTTTCAGCTAACTGCGACAAGGCTCGAGACAGAGCTGTGTGCTCCTCAGCATTGCCAAGCATAGCAGCACTCTTAGCAAATTGACCAGTAGTCATACTTAACTCTGAAAATTCAACAGAACAAGGTACAAAAATCAACAGACCATAACCTTTCCCCCCCATTGATAAAAAAAAGTAACCACATCAAAAGCAAAAGACACCATGTTATTGGCATCTTTTGTTTTTGATGCAGTTACTGATTTTGATTGCTATTTAAATTTATTCAAAAAGAAGGTTTAGAAATAATTAAAAAAATGAAAAGCCAAATATGATATTTGGGCCTTGCATGAAATGAAAGCCTTAATCATGTGCAATAATTTTAAAATTTAAATACAAGCAACTATTTGGTACTATGATTTATTCAACAAAATGTGATGTAAATTTAAATTAAGAGCTTAAAAAAATAAATAATTGTAAACTTGATATAAAAAAAAAAGAGAAAAGAAAGAAAATTTGAATCAAAAAGAATTACCTCGCCTGTGTTGTACAAGAGCTTCCACACTTCTGTGTAGTTTTTGAAGTTGGGTATCAAGAGACTCTATTTGTTGTTGCTTTTCTTCAAACCACTACAATTAAAGGTGGCATTATAGAAGAGAAAATATAAAAAGAAACTATCTCCCGATTGTCTCACAAAAAAAAAAAAAAAAAAAAAAAAAAAAAAAATCAACATTCACACACACACACAAAAAAAAAAAAAAAAAAAAATAGAAAAGATATGGTTTCCCTACCAAGTGATTAACAGTTCACATGATGATTGGGCTTTTTTCATTAGCAAAAGAGAAGAGTTCACTAAGAAACTCAATGATTATCAATTTATTACATTTAAGAAATCAATTAGAATAATTAAATTAGTGACAATTAATAATCTTCAATAATTTTGTTTTATTAAATTTTTCCCATAAAAACAAATTTGGGGGGAAAATACTGACTGTATCTTAGTTTAATGTCACCATAACGGAAAAATAATCAAAAGAAAAGTTATTTTTTGTTTTAAATAAACATGCTGTTGTAATGCAATAAACTATTTCTACTTGGGAAAATTACAAAATAACAAACACGGCAAAATTAACTATAGTATTTCAATTCATTTATGAAAGAAAGCAGAATATAGATAAAAAATGTTAAATAAATGGAGTGGGGAGTGTAGAATAACAATGGTGGAATTTCAGCCCTTCCACTTTTGACCATCGTCGAGAGCAGAATGAAAATTCGTCCCCAAATTGAGAAAATGCATGAATCCATTATAACAAATGCAGTCTAACCAGCAGAAGAATGAGCAAATAATTTACAAGATTTAAAATAAAATAAAGCATAAGTTCTCAACCAAATGTTTTCATCTTTAGTGTCTGATTTATTAATAACATTTTACCAGTTTCATTTCAATATCCTGTTGGCATCTAACAAAGATTCACTTTCATTTAAAATATCATCATTATTTCTGGCAATCTCAAGTTAGCCACAAAGAATTAAATACTTTTAACATTTTTATCATTTTATTATAATAAAGAATTTTTAAAAAAAGTGAGAGTATTTTTGAATCAATCCAAAATAACTAATGACATCTTAAGCAAAAATGGGTTCATTTTTTTTTTTTTTTTGGTTAAAAGTTAAATATAAACAAAGCCTTGTAACCTGATCACTGGCTGGCGGGTAGGGGAGGTGGTGAAGAGGACAGGAGAAAAAAAAAGAAAAAAAAGAAAAAAGGGGTATGATCATCCAATAAGCAAACTGAGAATTGTTCTTGGTTAATTTCTTGGCAATTCTTGAGTAATGAGGGAAGGAATAAAAAATTCAAATTAAAAAATTGAGTTAAATATGCAACTTAAAAAAAAAAAATAATAAAAAAAAAAAAAAGAAAATAAAAAAAAAAAAAAAAAATTGAAAAACAATTGAATTTAGCATTTAATTTTATAACTGAAGGAAACAAACAGAAATTTTGAAAAGTGCATAACTTTTGAAACAATTGCCAAACACACCCAGAATACAAAATGCCAGTTGAAGCTTTTCACTTTTATTAGTGGCATTATTTGATTAACAATTGTCACTGTTTTTCAGTTTTGTTTATTGCCAAACCATTTGTTCAATTTTAAGATCCCAAAAAAGCAGCAATAATAGGCTTCAGACATTTTTAGGATTTAATGAGTTACAGTTTGAAAGAGCCAAATTATAAAAGCATTTCTTGAACAATTATGAAAGATAAATTGGTTGCCAAAGAAAGTTTTTCTTTTTTGTTTTTAAATTGTTAGGATTATAAAAACAAATGTCAAATAATAGCCATAATGGATTTGAGAGTGTAAAGACGACAACAGGAAAGTGAGTTTCATCAATTCTATTCAAGACAAATTGAAGGACACTTGTTCTGGAAAAGAGGAGACAAAACAATTCAACAAGGAATTTTTCAGAAAATGATTCATTATTTAAAGAATTCTTTATTCTTCCCTATATTGAAAGTGAATGAACCATTTTAATGAAGCTGCAGAAGAAATGTTAAGCAAAAATAGTGAACTACAAAAAAAAAAAAAAAAAAAAGTCAAGTGAAAATAAAAACAGTCTAAGGAAAAATTGGAAATCTTGAAAGATATTCAAGATCTGTGGCAGAATGACAAGATGGAAGAACCAGGACAATTCTTTGTTGCTTTGAGGATAAAGTTTAAGTTGGGAAAGAAGTTAAAGAAAGTGAATTCTTCCTGATAGCAAAGAATGGGAGAAGAAAAAGAATTCTTATTAAAACCAATACTTTGAAGAAACATTAATATATTCATTTAAAAAATAAATAAAAAAAAAAAAAAAAGATAAAATGAAAATATCAAAACAAAATAGCAAACTAATTACAAAAGGAAAACTGGATTTTCATAAGGTAAAAACTAAACAGGTTACCAACAAGAAAATGTGTAGCAGGATGTGACCACTAACATGCACAGGAAATATCATAAGGACAACGTCAAGGATTGAAAAGAGAATCAAGTTTGTTTTACGGATTCACAATTAAAAAGGAAAAAAAAATATAGTTTGGAGATGTCCTAGATGAGAAGAGAAAGAGCATTTTATGAAACAAATATGGAAGGCATTTAATAAATGCTTTATCTTTAGCCAACATTTGTCATACGCAAATAATAAAGTTATTAGAATTACAATTAGTATTCAGGATTTGTGTTGAAAGTTTATATACACACACACACGGTTTGAAAAATATTTTGTTTTATGCTTCAGACATCTATTTCAACAACTTATTAGATATTTACCTATGTAAAATGAAGATAGAGATTAAAATATATATTCCAGATGTTTCTTCAGTAGTAATGACCAATTGAAATAAAAATTAATATTGTCATTGTGAGAGAAAATAAAAAAACAACTACCAAGAATAAAACAAGTCAAAAGCCAAAAGAAAGAAGTTATAGAATTAAGTTTTCATTTTGAATAGAAACACAAAATGTATAAAAGTTGTCAACAATCTATGACAAGGAAAATTTAAGAAAAATCTAAAAAAGAAAATAGTCTTAAAAAATTCAGTTTTTCAGAATATAAAAATACCCCAAGGGAATACAGATTTTACAAGCATCGCATTTTCTTTTTCATTTTTTTTTTTATATTGAGCCTCACCAATTCCAAAATAAACATGGAATCTCACTTTTTTGACTAAAAAAAAAAAAAAAAAAAAATGAGACTAAGACTAGAAAAAATTCCACAATGAGGTGTCAGAGATTATTTAAGTGGCAAATATAAAAATTTGATAATTACATGTCAGTTTTACTATACCAGTGTTATCAGCTAATCTCTTTGGCAGTTTGGAAGAAGAGATGAAACTTGATTTTGAACAGGAATGACCAAAGAGAAAAGTCATTCATCAGTGACAAACAGTAAATTCAGTTCAAGTAAACTGGAGTTACCGTAACAAAGAAAAACAATTAGTAAATTAGCAAAGCCAAAATAATTCTTACAAACAAAGCAGAACAAAAATTAACTTTTCGCAATAATAAATTCTAAAATTTATAATAGAAAAGATGTGTAAATCTAAGGTGGAAAATATAAAAATAAAATAGTTTGCAAAAATACAAAAACTTAAAAACAAACAATTTAACATGTTGACTTAGCACACATATGGAACACTGTGTCAAGTGGCATTCATTGTAGTATTTATGGAACAATGGAGGCAAAAAAGAAAGATCAACATTTTTCTATTACTAAAAGTCATGTATATAAAAATGCTAACATAAATAAGCATCTGGCATTATGCAATATTTGAAATATCTTCCAATGCAGCAGCTGAATATGTGTTAAATAATGTTCCCTTCTAGTAATAAGTATTGGGAAAGGTAAAAAAAAAAAAAAAAAGAAAGAAAGAAAATGGCCATTTTATATCTTTTGAACATTTTCTCAAATTAAGAAAAATATCATTACTATGGTTATTTATAAAATAAAGTTTCCAAGTATGAAATCAATAAAAAAATTAAAATATGGTAATGCTTCCTATAATGAATGTGTAAAAAAAAAAAAAAAAAATAACTTTATTATTATCCCCTGCATAATTAAAATAATTCCAAATTGTTACAAAAATAGATCATTTTTAAATGATTACAAAAAATTAAATTAAAACTATAATTTAAATATGGAAAATATACAAGCATAAAACCAATATTTTACAAAAGGTTTCAACATTTTTTACAGCAATTTTAAAGATTTTACATGTTTAATGCTGTTTAGAGAGCAGATATCTTGAATATTTGCAGTTTTGAAAAGGATTTATAAAAAGACACTTTTCTAAAATATTCGAGTTAAAACTCAAACATCACTATATTCCTGATCCAACTTATTTCTCTGCAAATCATTTTTTCGGCATTTTAAAGCAAGAAAAAAATGTCTGTGGTTGAAATTGTTTTGGTTAGTTTTGTGAAAGAATTTTGAATTAAAGTTCATCTAAATGTAGACACACTGACACATACTTCAAGCTAAGCATCAAATTCATGGAAACTTAGTTATTAAATCTATATAAATAGGTTGAAACTTGAGGTTAAGTAGAAGTAGATATGTTTTTTTTTCTATAGAGCATTAGCTTGAAATATTGTTCAATCTTTTTGTGAGCATATAGCATTTAAAATTAGATAAGAATCTGATTGAGTGAAAAAAAACCAACAAAAAAGCCTTACAAATTTTTTTTTTACTCACAAGATAAAATCTGAAAGAATTGTTTCATGAAAGTTTTGTATTCAAAACCACTTAGAATTTGCAACCCAGAAATTATCTGTGATTCTCATCTTGGAGGCACTAGATGTTCAACAATGCTGTGGGCAAGGGAACTATTATAATTTTAATAGGATAGATAGAAATAGCTTGTAAATTTCAATGTGTTCAAAACAAAACTGCTTTCATTTAATCACTACAGAGAACCTTTACTGTCTGCCATCAGGAGAGCAACTTTCTATGCCTTTTTGGCTTCATATAGTCCACAGACATGAAGTGAAGCAACTATATCAAGTCAATTGCTAAATCTGATGACAGGAAGGTTAGTTCGCTGTATTGTGCCAAAAAGTTTTTCTTGTCAGAATCCATCTTGCACATTTATAAA